ATAAAGAGGTGGTGCTGAGGGGCACCCCGCAAAGTGGGCAGGGGCTGGGGGAGAAATGCCAGAGATTTTGCTGTTGATGGTTTTGCTTTGCAACTTTGGGGGGGTCTGTAGATCCTGGCGTTCACACTGGGACCCGCCTGCTCCCCTTGCCCCCTGAAGAGGAATTTGCTTTTGAAAACGGTTGCCACCCAGGAACAATTCTGAAACAATATCAGAAATACCCCCCCTCCCTTCAGAAGCCCCCCCGTCAGGTAGAAACTGGGCAGGTGTTTCCAGAGACAGAATAATGTGATATTGTAGCGGTAAGTGTCCTGCTTGTCTGGAACGTGTGGCGTGGCTGGCGCATGAGAGTCGGGAAGGATCATGCAGGAGAATACAGGGACTTGGTGTGTGTCACAGTAACCTTCGGCAATTGCTTCTGTTTCCTGGGGGCCGTCACACAAAACAAAAGGGCTCCTCTTAGATTTCCAAGCCACTTTCTTCAGTGGCAGCTGGACACCCCCAAAAGCACCAAGCTGCTGGGCGAAGAGAGCGAAGGCTTCTCGCCGAATTGCCTGGAAAGAGAATTGGGCTAAACTGCCCCTGCCCCGGCCTGACTTGGGAGTCAGTAGGACGCGGCTGAGTTTCTAAGGCTTTGGCGAGTTTCTCAGGCTTTGGCGTGTGAATGTGTGGGGTGTATTTTCCTCGGCAGGGATCGTGCTGTGGGGTGAGTCCGATTTGCAGCTCGATGGCAACGGGTTGCATTTCATTTTAGTGCTATTTAAAAAGAAATTCCATTTCCCCCCTTTTTTGGGGGCTCCGCCGACACCCTTACAAAAATAAATACACCAAGAGAGCACAATTAAGCAATATTTTATACAGGGGTGAGTGAGAGAAAGTCCAGACCACTTGGTATCTATCCAAGTTCTATTCCAAAGTGTGGATTTTTTTTCTCTCCAATGAGATAAAAAGCAAATGAAATGGAGGGAGAAGGGGGGAAAAAAGAGGGATAGAAAAGCAATCACCCACCATTTATTTACTTCTTGATTTTGCTGTTAGTATGCTTGCCTGGTGGAATGTCAGCTAGCAGCAAAGAGAGTCTGGCTGTGTGTGTGGAAGAAAGTAGCATATTGCCGCAGGAAAATCCACCCGGGAAGCAAATTCGGGAAGAAAATAAGCTCAGCGCACCTTCAAAACTGTGGCCAGAAATCCAAGTTCCTTTTACCAGGGGAGTGTTTTAGCCAGAACGGAAACAAAGCCTTGATGTATGTATTTATTTATTGTATTTGCTGTGGCACGGGCAGGATTTCTGATTTTAAAAGAGTCAGTGCCACGTTGCCAATTCCTTGTCTGAGCTGGTGATTGCAGAAAAGCCTTTTGCCCCGTGCGCTGTGGGCTTTGAGCGAGGCCATGCCTCGGACGCGGCCACGGGCCTCGGTGGGGAAGGCAGCAGCAAAAGTCGCGTTGGTCTGTTTTATCGCAAACTAGCGCTGCAGCGATACTCGATTGGAAAAAAATAATCTGAGCGCAACAGTTTTAATCCATGTCTTCCTCCTCCTCTGTGCAACTCTGTTTTATGTGTTTGATTAATCGCTAGGCAGGGACCAGGCAAAGACAGTGATAAGGGCTTTCCTGCCTGTCTCATGGAGGAGAAAAAAAATTGAAAATACCAACAGCTGAATTCAATCTTAGCTTTGTTCTGTTTAAAATAGGCACCTTCCTTCTTAGTGGAATTGAAAAGATTGAGTAGAAATTCTGGCTGGACAGCTTGGCCAAACAAGCAGAGCTTACTACAGCGTATGTATATTTTTATTTGGATTATTATTTGGTTTATAATCACTCCAAAGGCACCATTTGAGCCTGGTTCCCTTTTGTGCTAGCTGGCCGGTGACAGTTTACAAGAGAAAGTTTCTTCTTCCTGTAAGGATGTGTGCAAGATTTAATGTGACACACTTGTCCCGAGCAGAAGGTCATGCACTGATGCATTGGACAGGTTCAGGGCCTAATGAACCAAACATGCAAAGCATGGGTGGAAAAGAAGGGAAACTGAGGCCCAGAGAAATTCAGTGATTTGCCCAAAGTCGCGCAGGACTGTGAGTGAACCAAACGCTACCTCGTTCCAGCCGCTCAGAGTTGGCATATGACGCTCCTTTCATATAGCACAAATTTAAAAATGTAATTTCGTAGAGAACAAATTTTAAAGAACCAAACATGAAGGAAACCGATCTGACTTTTTTCCTTATCTTGATAAACTTTGGACAAGTTTTTGCAAAGCCACTTTATTTCATAGCTGTGTGAATTTTAGCTCATAACTGGGAAAGTAGGCAGGGAGGGGGAATGCCTTGATGCATCTGAAGGAAAACAGTTGCAGGCGTGCGAAATAATTCATATCCATTCAGCTGCCTCTCCTTTTGCAAACAACCCTCTTTTTTTGCCCCTCTTGCAAGAAAGCTTGGTCTATTGTGGGGGGAAGGGAGCACGCAGAGGGGCGCGTGTTAAGTTGAGCATAATCCAGTGATATTAATGAATAAATGCACTAAGTTATTATAAACCCAGCGCAGATTGCATTGGTGGAGTAGGACTGCCTGTTTGGGAATCTTTGCTTAGAGGAAAGGTCTGGCCTAGAAATGTTTCGATTTGGCCAACGAGCAATCGCTGGCTAATTGGCAGGAAGCTGAGATGTTGGTCATGAGAACAAAGCCTCTGAAAAAATCACCAAGATTTTCAAAAGTGCCGGAATGACTTACAAGCCTCAGTCCTTCTGGCTTGCACTGAGCTGTAGGCTACTCACGGCCAGATTTTCAAAGGGGTTCAGGTGCTTCCAGACACAGATGGGCATCTACAAAACCTCAGCTGGAATCATGTGTCTCAGGGTTTGGGAGCGTGGGGGGCTAGTTGCTTATTTGCACTGGGAGGTGCCGAAATACACTTGAAGCCTGTCCCTTTGCAACAAGACTTCCATTGGAAGCCAAGAGGATTCAGGGGTCTAGGAGCTTAAATCACCTTGGTCTAAAGCTCTTAAGTCACCTATGTGCATCACCGCTGCAATGCTGAGAGTCACTGCCCTAGTCAGGTGACTCAAGCTTCTGCAGAGACCTTTGGGCCCAGGATGGAACCTGGGCTCTGGGATCCCAAAAGCGAGACTCCAGACCAAGCGCAGGTGTCGACACGGCCGTGGTTTAGCCCGGCAGCGCAGGCCCCATGAACTCGTCAGTTGTCCCTGGCTCGGAGAAGAGCTGCAGGTTTTTTATTGCCGTATAGACAGACCCCTGGGTACCTTACACCAAGTGACGTGAGGCCTGGATGAAATCACAGGGTCAGATTCTCCGATCGTGTCACGAGGAGTATCCCCGCGGCCGACAGCGGGGCTTTGTCGACAACCTGAGGTCGAGGGGTTTGGCCTTTGTGTTTTCGGGAGGAGTCTGGCGGCTGTTTCTTTGTGGCGGTGTCTCTACAGGCGGCCGTGGTTGCAAACGGATGTCGCCGGACGCGGATTGCGGGCTCGGGGGCCCGGTTGCTGTTGCGTGCCATGGCGCCGTTGCCCTGGGTTTCGATGAATCGCGCGGAGGGCGGGCTCGGGGGCCCGGTTGCTGTTGCGTGCCATGGCGCCGTTGCCCTGGGTTTCGATGAATCGTGTGAGAGGGGTTAATTCTGCGATTGTGCGCTTGGCTCGCGTGTTACTGGGGGAATTGGTGCAAAACCCAGAACCAGGGCCCAGATCTCCCCCATTATTTAGGTTCCTAGTGTCCCCTGAAAGCAATCAGAGAGGGCGGGCTCGGGGGCCCGGTTGCTGTTGCGTGCCATGGCGCCGTTGCCCTGGGTTTCGATGAATCGTGTGAGAGGGGTTAATTCTGCGATTGTGCGCTTGGCTCGCGTGTTACTGGGGGAATTGGTGCAAAACCCAGAACCAGGGCCCAGATCTCCCCCATTATTTAGGTTCCTAGTGTCCCCTGAAAGCAATCAGAGACAGTAATAGAGTTTAGGAGCCTAAATACCGTGATGGATCTGGGTGTGGGTGGCTCGAAGTGAAACTCCGATTTTAGCCCAGTTCACTAATGCAGTAAACACGTAGGCCTTGTTGGGCTATTAAACCCCAGCCTGATTCGGTACCTGTGACTCAGTCCCCTTTGCTCAGTCCCCGTTGATTGGGCTGACATTGCTGGGGGGGGGGGTAAAGTTGGCAAGCAGAGTTAACAAAGGGGGCTAATCTGGCAGTCCTCCCGCCGACATGCCTGACGTGGGCACTTCGGACCAGTCACTCGCCTGGTGCGTGGGGCGGGGGATCCTGTCTAAAGAGCAGAGTGGAACTGGCTTATGGCAAAACTCGGGTTAGAGCAAAGTTTGGCCTGGGAGGAGCTGCCAACATTGCATATGGATTCCGGCAGCTTGTTCGTTCGGATCGGGGCCTGTGCCTTATTTATTTACCTAGTGAGGTGCGAAATTAACCAGGGCCCGCTCCGTCCTTGGTCCGTAAGGGGCGTGAGGGAGGTCTTGTTTGCTGGGGGGAGCTTTTGAGAGGAGAGCTGATCGGTGCAGGGGGGGAAAGGCAGTTCTGCGTCAGCGCTTGGCGCTCGGAAGCCAAGATTTCTTATTTTAAAACTGGAACATCTGAATTCAACCAACGCTATTAAAAATAAGCTGAATATTCTGTTCAGAGCTGCAGGGAGCGAGAGGTTTCTTAGAGATGCAGGGTGGCGGGGGGGGGGAGAGGGAAGCAATTCTGAGGAGCCGAATCTAAACAGAGACGAGATTTTGCTCTCTGTAAAGTAACTTTTGATGCCTCCCGAACTCTTGCCTGGCTCTACCTTAGAAGCATATGCAACCCCGGTTTATTTTGACAGAAGTCTCTTTCTCTGAGCTGCCTGGATTCACACACACACACAAAAGTGACACTCCCCCCCCTTTCCCCTGTTGGCAAGTGTTAGTGTGAATCTGAATGGAGCAAAGTTCAAGAGGCTGCGTCAGTTACAAAACAGTGTTGCCTCTAATGGAGGGTGTGTGTGTGGGGGGGTTTTAAACAGATCTGGCAGAGAAGAATTTATATCTATGATCCAAGAAACCCTTGAAAACACCTAGAAATGTGGGTGTGTGGCAGTTGTAACATTCCAAATACCTTGCACTTTTATGGAATTTTGTAGCAAGAAAAATAGGTGTCTTTTCTGGAGGGGGGCGCCCCACGTTTTTGAAACACGGCCCCGGCTCAGATCCTGAAAGGAAGGCATGCCGGTCTAGACGATCACATCCCCGGTCGTCGATAATGTATCCCAGCCCGAGAAGCCCCGACATTTAAGCTCTTCAAATCCATATTTAAGGACTGACACCCAATCTATCAGATGCTTCCCCTCTGGAAGTACTTGTGTGTGCAAATTTACTCACCAGGGAGCCTGGCCTGTACTGTGGTGTGCACCTGGTAGCTTTTTCCACCTCCACGCCCAGTGGGGTGACCAGCCACCGGCTCCAGGTGAGGACTCTGCACCTGAGAGGAGGAAAGGGGGTAGACACCCAAGGGCGCTGAAAGCAAAGGGGGATGGTCTGTGGTTAAGGCTCTCGCTTAGCTCAGCTAGCCTGGGTTCTAATCCCATTTCTGCTGTCGGCTCTCTGTGCGAATTTGGCAAGCTGCTTAAACGGCTCTGTGCCTCAGTTTCCCCCATCCTGCCACGAAGGTTAGAGCACAAATGCAGTACAGAGCATGACACGCTTTGAGGACTACTGCTGAAAAGTCTGTGT